CGTCAGCAGACATCTCGAGGTGACGTCAGCAGACATCTCGAGGTGACGTCAGGCAGACATCTCGAGGTGACGTCAGGCAGACATCTCGAGGTGACGTCAGGCAGACATCGTGACGTCATGAAGTCGGGCAGCATCGTGGGTGACGTCAATGTGATGCGGGCAGCAGACCACAGCATGAGGCCTGGGACATCTGGTAACTCGCGTAGCTCGTAGGTCTACGTGACATCGCCCACACCCATGTGGCGTCGTGATCCACGTGGTGTCGTGATCTACGTGGCATGCTGATCCACGTAGCTTCGAGTGGCCTCGGGCACTCTGATACACAGCTCTGGCAATGAATCACACGAAAAACAGCAGAAAACACAACAGAGGGAGTGGGCAGTGGTGAGTGGTGTATGGTAGACGGGTGAGCGTGAGTAGGGCGAGCATGGGCAAGGTGAGGAACAGCCACTTCCTCTCCTCCCCCCACCCACAAACACGTGGAGAAGCTCACACTGGACGCAGAAATCACCACAAAACTCACCTCTGGCTTGCTGAAACAGCTGTGCTGAGCTGAACAACAACAGCAACATACAAGTGACGCTGAACACGTGACTTGAGAAACAGCGTGGGACGCTGTAGCGTGGGGTCACTTACAATTCTCGGAGAATTTCGGCAAATTTCAGCTGGATCCTGCTTGTACCTGTGTCTGGATGCTCAAACGTGCAGACACGACATCCGGATAACTCGTCGAGAGACGGATGCTTCTTGTGTAGGGTGATGAAGTGAAGATGACTTCATACCTCTTCCTCCCTCTCTCCAGGCAAACACAACTGCTGCGAGCACCGCTGTCACCATTTATAACGGGCTTGTTTGGTATTCTGGTAGCGGGTGGTTAATGATACGTCTTCTTCGGAGGCTTCTTCGTTTATTGTTAACTCGTGGTGGGTACACACAGGCTTGTGTGTTGTGCCCATGGCCCGGGCAGGGCCATCCCACGAGAGAGAGCTGGGAGGCCTTGTGTCTTCCTGCTAGGCCGTTGTGTGAGTGAGGGTGAGGCAAGTCTGGGTATACTGAAGTGGCAAGGCCTATAGGTGGCAGCACCAGCATGGCGCAAAATATGAACTAAGCTGGCAGACAGCATGGGCTATCTGTGCAGACAGTACAGGCTGTCTACAAAGTACCCTGGCTGGTGTGTGGGGGAAGTACCCTGGTTGGCGTGTGGGGGAAGTACCCCGGGTGGTGTGTGGGGGGGAAGTACCCCGGGTGTGTGTGTGGGGGGGGGAAGTACCCTGGGTGGTGTGTGGGGGGGGGAATTCCCCGGGTGGTGTGTGGGGGGGAAGTACCCTGGCTGGTGTGTGGGGGGAAGTACCCTGGCTGGTGTGTGGGGGAAGTCCCCTGTCTGGTGTACCACCCTCTACCACCACCACTTGTAGCTTTCTACCAACTTTTTCTTGAATTCTATAGTGTTTCTCGCCCTCTTTACCAAAGGGCTGGCACTAGAAGCTTTCTTTGGGTCCATGATGGCTTATTTAGCAGTTACAAGCACTAAAAATAATGGAATACTAAATGTATCACATGTATTTGTGGAAGAGTCCTCACTGGCTTGTAAACAATGGCACACGGCTGTACATGGAGTGGCCAGGCTGCACGGACACGTACAGGACGAATGACTTCGACTGAGTTCTTTGTCGTTAAGAGCCAATATTTTGATGCAAAAATGTCATTCTCCGATGACGTCGTTAACTGAGGGTCCACTGTAATCCATTGTTTTTGGCATTTGTTTGTGTGTGACTGCTAAATAAGCCACCATGGGCCCAAAGAAAGCTTCTAGTGCCAGCCCTTCGGTAAAGAATGTGAGAAACACGATAGAATTCAAGAAAAAGTTTGTAGTAAAGTGGTGGTGGTAGAGGGTGGTAGTGGTTGTGATGGTGGTAGTAATGGAGATTTGTGCAATGCGGGGTAGGATGGAAAGATTTGTGGCATTAAAAAAAAAAAAAGTGACCCCAGATAAGGGCTTGGTACCTAGAGTCTTTATAGAGGGGGGATTCCCTTTCCAAAGAATAACCTCTCTTCCTTCTTCCCTCTTCCCTGTCCTCCACACCAAGAGTCTTCAATAAAGGTAAGTGTCATTTTGAATGTTCATTCTTTTCTGCATGTAAATCTATACTTAACCCTTTCAGGGTCCAAGGCCCAAATCTGGAGTCACACACCAGTGTCCAAGAATTTAAAAAAAAAAAATTTGTTATTTTTTCTTATGAAATCGTAGAGAATCTTTTTGTGAAGGTAATAAAACAAAAAGTACGAAATTTGGTGGAAAACTGACGAAATTATGCTCTCGCGAATTTTGATGTGTCAGCGATATTTACGAATTGGCGATTTTGCCGACTTTGACTCCCATTTTAGGCCAATTACATTATTCCAATCAACCAAATTCTTAGCTATTTCAGTAGTATTACTTCTATTCTATCGATTGAGCACAAGAAATCGCCAAGTCAACTGTTTCAACTACAAAATAAAGTGATCGGAAATTGTTAATTTGGCCAATTTAACACAAAGTTCAAAATATTCCAGTTTCAAAATAGGGTCCAGAATGAACAATGTAGGTATTCCTGGCACTAAACTAACATTTCCTCTGTTCATTAGTTATGTTTTGAGGCTTTACAAATAAATTCCATTTTGATTTTTTATTCACATAATAAATTTTTATTCGCACCAAAAAATAGAAGATTTACTGTTATGCAATACTGTAATAATTGTATAAATATCATCACCATATTTGTGAATGTATATTAGACCCACCAGCCGACGTGTATTAGATGTGTGAGGTCGTTTGTTTACTCTTGAATATCGGCAAAAATTTAACATTTCTGCTACTTTGAGCTCAGTTTCAAGCCATTTCCAGTGCTAAAACCAATCAAAATCATATCTATTTCTGTAATATGTCTTCCATTCTATCAAATGAGACCAAGAAATCGCAAATACAACTATAAAAACATATGAAAAAAACACTGCAAAGTTGCTGTTTTAATCGAAAAATCATGATTTCATTTTTTTTCTCTCATTATACACAGTGTGCTGCAGGATCTGTTTTATGTGGTGCACACATACCACATAGATGTATTCTCTCATATCTAGGCCCAAATGTACCACTCACAGTTTATCAGAGTGAGCTGAGCTCATGGCGTAGATCTACGGTTTGGACCCTGAACGTAAAGCCGTAGATCTACGGGACGGACCCTGAAAGGGTTAACCTAAAAAAAAAATTTTTTTTTTTGTTAATACTTTTGGGTGTCTGGAACATTAATTGGATTTACATTATTTCTTATGGGGAAAATGGTTTGTTTTCGCCGATTTACGTTTTTGCCGGTCTCTGGAACGGATTAAACACGAAAACCGAGGGTCCACTGTATTTCTTTTGGGAAATGTTACTTCGGTTTTCTGCCATTTCGGATTTAGGCCAGCCTTCTGGAATGGATTAATTACGAAAACCGGGGGTCTACTGTATACATGAAATGTGAAATAACTTTAAAACACTTAAAATTTTGGAGAGACATGGGACTCATGGAGAACGTAAACAAACCAGGTTGGGTGCGCTATATTAGAAAGACGGGGAGTCGTATAGCGAGTTTTGGTCATAATTTGAAATTGCCGTATTAGTGGAATGCTGTAAGGCGAAACGCCATTAAGTGGGGCCCTACTATATCGCAAAACATTCTAGTCATAGGAAACTAACTTCAGAATTGGCTCACTGAGATGAAATGCAGATTAGCTTAAGATAAATTCTACAGGGGTGTAGTTCCTTGACCAAATCCTAAGCATGATATAGAATGAAACTAACAATTAAGTTTGCAGTCGCTACAGTCCTCCATCATAAGATTGGAGGAAGGGGTCAAAAGACCAAACATGGACAGGTTGCAGACCTTACCCATAAGAGAAAGATGAAGGGGTGAGCATAGTGCTAAGCATATTGCCTGAGGCTTATGTCAACCAAATAACCTGTGCAGCCAGGGCTTGTTTGGCAAATCTAAGAGTAGCCTTCAGGAATATCTGAGCCCTTTATACCACTTAAGTTAGACCAATCGGGTGGTATGCAAAACTGGCATGGAACCCGGACCTTAGAAAGCATGTTAAAAAAAAAAAAAAAAAAAAAAAAAAAAAAGAACAGGTGCAGAAGTAGCATTAAGGTATGTTCCAGGACTAAGGGATATGAGTTACAAGGGAAGATTTGAGTCTAAACATTGAAGGACAGAACCAGGGAAGACATGATGCCAAAATACTCAGAGGAATTGATAGGATACAGAGATAGGCTATTTGAGATGTGGGGAAACTGGTACATGGAGGCACAACTGAAAGTTGCAAAGATGAACTACAGAGATGTCAGGATGTATTTCTTCAGTCTTAGGGTGGTTGGGGGGGGGGTGGAATAACCTTGATGAGGAAGTGGAGGCAGGCAGGCTCCATGTCCTGTTATAAGAGCAAGTGTGATAGTCCACGAGGCTACAAGGGAATGATTCGAGCAAGTGGTAGGTTGAGAGGTGGGGCCAGGAGCTAAGACTCGACCCCCTGCAGCCACATATAGTTAAGGTCTGGATAGAGTGGTGCAGCAGTTGGAGATTTGGAAAAGAGCTTCATGTGGAAAAGTACAAAGTAATGTAAAATGATTGTTCCATCTACATGCATTTTAGTTATAACAATGTAAAATATGAATTTAGGAGAATGAATTTGGAGTAGTTATTAGCAGTGACCTAAAGTACACTAAGCAATGTCTAAATGCAAACACCAAAGCTAACAAAATGGGTTTCATGGCTAGAAATTTTAGGTAAAAATCTCTCAAGGATTATGCCAATAACTTATGCACTTGTCACACTGCACCTTGAATGTGCTGTCCAGTTTTGTTCTGATTAAGAGCATAACAAGGTAGATGATACAGACATATCAACGAAACTTGTATATTAATGAACAAACTACTTAAAGATATGAAAACCTTCATTCTGGCAATTTGTTAATGTTTTATATAGGGCCACCATGGAGGAAATGGCTGCTCCTCTTTTGAAGCGTGTAGAGTCAACTCTACAACATTGCCTTCAAGACTCATCACTGAAGCTGGATGACATCTCAAGTGTTGAGATTGTTGGTGGATCGACTCGTATTCCAGCAATCAAACTACTAATTGAAAAGGTGTTTAACAAGGTACCATCTACGACACTTAACCAAGATGAAGCTGTAGCCAGAGGGTGTGCTCTTCAGTGTGCAATGCTTTCTCCAGCATTTAAGGTGAGCACATTTAAGATTTTCCTCATTATATAGCTAATTTTTTTTTATTGCATAGCATACCACTATTAAGAGGGTAAATAAGTACACCATGTGATATTGAGCATGATAGCAGTTTGTTAAACTTTGCATTAGTAGATAAATAGGTGGGAATGTTTTTAGAGGGTGACAGACATATTAGATCAATAGTTAGTGGTAGCTACAGTGAGAGTAAGAGGTGTGGTATATGGTGAGAGTCATCAATGGGTTAGTGAAGTGAAAGTTAATAAAGTAATGGATGAGATTAATGGAGAATAATTGGCAACTATTGGGAAAAAGGTGGACTAGTGTTCAAGTAATGAGAAGAGGGTTGTAGAGGTATGGGGTAGATTTAAGAATGCAGCATTAGTGTGCAGCAGAAATTTGTGGATATTGGAGGATGGATGCATGTGGAAAGAAGAGTGCTTGGCGAAAAAATGTAAGAGTGATAGAAGAGAAAAGGATATACGAGAGGCTTTAACAATGTAGAAATGAAATGTGGAGTATATGGAGAGTAAAAAGAGGCTAAGAATGGCGAGGGAATGTAAAAGGAGAGCAAATGAGAGTTGAAGTTTTATTGACAAATTTTGCTGAGAATAAGAAAGCTTTTAGAATAGGATTTAGTTGAGGAAAAATAGAGAACACATGGATTTTAGTAATTAAAAATGGTGGAGGGGAGACATTAGATTGGGAGGAGGAGTTGGGCATGTTCTGATTTACCATTTGTATTGAAGAAATTTGGGTATTATTTCCCATATGATTTGTGAATACTTCTTCTAATTCTCTTTAACCCTTTGACTGTCGCAAGCCCCTTTCTGAAACTGTCATTCTACGTCGGAAATTTGTTGGAAAAACAAATTTTTTTTTTTCTTACGAAATGGTAGAGAACCTTTTCCTGATGGTAATGACCCCAAAAGAACAAAATTTGATGGAAAACTGATGGAATTACGCTCTCGCAAAGTTAGCGACCTCGGCGATATTTACGAATTGCGATTTTGCCCACTTTTAGCCCTATTTTTGGCTAATTCCATTGTTCCAGTCGACCAAACTCATAGTTATCTCTTTAGAATTCCATTTTTTCTATCGATTGAGTACAAGAAACTGCCCATTTACTAATTTCAACTACCCAATAACATGGTCAGAAATTTGCAATTTGGCTAATTTCACGAAAATTAAAAAAATATTAAAATTTCAAAATAGGGTCCAGAATGAACAATGCAGATATTCCTGGCTCAAAAATAACATGTTCTTTGTTCATCAGTCACGTCTCCAGGCCCCTCTGATATTACTCTTGCTTTCTATTTTGAATTTTTATTCAAACAAAAAATAGAAGATTTACTGTTATGCAGACTACTGCAATATTGTAATAATTGTATAAATAATGTCAACCCATTCATGACTGCATATTAGAATGGCTACTTGGACATTTATAGGACAATGACATCATTTGTTTACTTTTGAACATTGGCAAAAATCAAACATTTCACCCACTTTGAGCTCCATTTCAAGGTACTTTTCACAGTAAAACCAATCAGTCACCTATATTTCTATAATATGTTTTCCATTCTATCAAATGAGACCAAGTAAACGAGAATACAACCATAAATACTATACAAAAATAGACCACAAAGTTGGCATTTTAATTAAAAACGGTCAGTTTTTTGTTTTTTTCTCATGCTCTGCGTGCTGCAGGATTTTTTTTGTGGTGCACACTGACCACACAGACCCATTCTCTCACATGTGGGCCTACCAGCTTTCTCCTGCTTGATTTGAAGCCGCTAGAATTTGAGTATATACATAGTGGAACCTCTGCTTGTGAGTTTAATCCGTTCAATGACCTTGCTCGCAACTGGATTTGCTCGTTTGCAGAATCAGTTTTCCTCATTTAAATTAATTGAAATGCAATTAATCCGTTCCAGTGGAATTCTGTACTTCAATAGTTTTGCTAATATCAACTCTACGGCTTATTTATCTATCTCACAATATGACATAGTAAGCAATATAAATAGCATAGAAACCTGATGTATACTCTAAAATGAATAAAATGTCATTCAAGTAGTGGTATGCGCTGTGTCGGCGGTGGACGAGAGTTTGTCTGGACACTGGGCAAAATTCTTCATGAATAATTTCGCTAATATCATCTATACGGCTTATTTATATATCACAGTTCATCTAATATGACATAACAGACAATATAAATAACATAGAAACACGATATATACTCTAGAATGAATAAAATGTCATTATGTAACAGGTGGAGGCGGCCACAACCGCTCCCTCTTTGTTGTGGTAAACACTGCCATCATGTGACGGCCTTTTGAAGCCGTCTATTATTAGAATTATTATATGTACAGGTCCACCATCACAAATCCGGCAATCAGTTATTCGGTTCCTTTAGTTATTCGGCACTTACTTTGGCTAGCGTAATTTCAAATTTCCAGGATCGCCACACCAACCTGCTGGTACTGTTTGGTGGCGCTATTTGCTGCATAAGTCATTCCAATTTCTTTTTCTCCATTTATTGTTTTAACCTGCTTGGTTTTAGTCCTAGGTATGGTTCCAATGAATAAAAGAAATGTTTCTCATTATGTAAAGCATATACACAGTACATTATCCTTTAAAGAAAAGGTGGCTTTGAAGCCACTGTCGGTTGCCGTGAGCTCAGTCTCGTGAAGCAGGAGAATATGCTTTATTATTACACTAATATCATCACTACAGCTTATTTGCCTATCACAATTGATCTAATATGACATAAGAAAAAATTTTTTTTTTTTCAACAAGTCGGCAGTCTCCCACCGAGGCAGGGTGACCCAGAAAAGAAAGAAAATCCCCAAAAAGAAAATACTTTCATCATCATTCAACACTTTCACCACACTCACACATTATCACTTTTTTTGCAGAGGTGCTCAGAATACAACAGTTTAGAAGCATACACATATAAAGATACACAACATATCCCTCCAAACTGCCAATATCCCAAACCCCTCCTTTAAAGTGCAGGCATTGTACTTCCCATTTCCAGGACTCAAGTCCGACTATATGAAAATAACCGGTTTCCCTGAATCCCTTCACTAAATATTACCCTGCTCACACTCCAACAGATCGTCAGGTCCCAAGTACCATTCGTCTCATATACGTACATATTATTAATAACATGTATTATTATTAACATGTATGTTATTAAATACCATTGCCTCAATCACTGCCTCTACCACTCCAGTCACACTCAATCTACAAGCACCAAACACAATGAATTATTGTGAAATGTTTGGAAGAGCAGGGAGACTAATGTTCACTCCTGCATAAACAAAGTCACACTGACGATGTGTCAACCACTCCCTCGTGTTTTTGTACAATTTCCTTCTTCAATTATATCATATTATTATTATTATTATTATTATTATTATTACTATTACTATTTTATTTTTTATTATCACACCGGCCGATTCCCACCAAGGCAGGGTGGCCCGAAAAAGAAAAACTTTCACCATCATTCACTCCATCACTGTCTTGCCAGAAGGGTGCTTTACACTACAGTTTTTAAACTGCAACATTAACACCCCTCCTTCAGAGTGCAGGCACTGTACTTCCCATCTCCAGGACTCAAGTCCGGCCTGCCGGTTTCCCTGAATCCCTTCATAAATGTTACTTTGCTCACACTCCAACAGCACGTCAAGTATTAAAAACCATTTGTCTCCATTCACTCCTATCAAACACGCTCACGCATGCCTGCTGGAAGTCCAAGCCCCTCGCACACAAACCTCCTTTACCCCCTCCCTCCAACCCTTCCTAGGCCGACCCCTACCCCGCCTTCCTTCCACTACAGACTGATACACTCTTGAAGTCATTCTGTTTCGCTCCATTCTCTCTACATGTCCAAACCACCTCAACAAACCCTTCCTCAGCCCTCTGGACAACAGTTTTGGTAATCCGCACCTCCTCCTAACTTCCAAACTACGAATTCTCTGCATTATATTCACACCACACATTGCCCTCAGACATGACATCTCCACTGCCTCCAGCCTTCTCCTCGCTGCAACATTCATCACCCACGCTTCACACCCATATAAGAGCGTTGGTAAAACTATACTCTCATACATTCCCCTCTTTGCCTCCAAGGACAAAGTTCTTTGTCTCCACAGACTCCTAAGTGCACCACTCACTCTTTTTCCCTCATCAATTCTATGATTCACCTCATCTTTCATAGACCCATCCGCTGACACGTCCACTCCCAAATATCTGAATACGTTCACCTCCTCCATACTCTCTCCCTCCAATCTGATATTCAATCTTTCATCACCTAATTTTTTGTTATCCTCATAACCTTACTCTTTCCTGTATTCACCTTTAATTTTCTTCTTTTGCAAAACCCTACCAAATTCATCCACCAATCTCTGCAACTTCTCTCAGAATCTCCCAAGAGCACAGTGTCATCAGCAAAGAGCAGCTGTGACAACTCCCACTTTGTGTGTGATTCTTTATCTTTTAACTCCACGCCTCTTGCCAAGACCCTCGCATTTACTTCTCTTACAACCCCATCTATAAATATATTAAACAACCACGGTGACATCACACATCCTTGTCTAAGGCCTACTTTTACTGGGAAAAAAATTTCCCTCTTTCCTACATACTCTAACTTGAGCCTCACTATCCTCGTAAAAACTCTTCACTGCTTTCAGTAACCTACCTCCACACCATACACTTGCAACATCTGCCACATTTCCACCCTATCCACCCTGTCATACGCCTTTTCCAAATCCATAAATGCCACAAAGACCTCTTTAGCCTTATCTAAATACTGTTCACTTATATGTTTCACTGTAAACACCTGGTCCACACACCCCCTACCTTTCCTAAAGCCTCTTGTTCATCTGCTATCCTATTCTCCGTCTTACTCTTAATTCTTTCAATTATAACTCTACCATACACTTTACCAGGTACACTCAACAGACTTATCCCCCTATAATTTTTGCACTCTCTTTTAT